TTTTTTTGAAAATTTGTTCAATTATAATTGGATAGAATTGTCTATGTGACATTGCATGATTTGAAAAAAAATCATGCACATTATGCGCATCATGCAATGCGCATTGCATTTTTTTTCATGCGCATGTCACATCTCTACCTGCACCATAATAATAATAATAATAAAAATATAGAAATCGTGGAACATACTTATACAGTTACTATAATAATAATAATAACATACCACAGAATACGATAATCAGTTTGATAATCAAGTAGTATTACAAACCCCCCATTACAACATCTGGTAAAGTAATCCATTAATTGTTAATAGGATTTACAGTGTAATATTTTATCACTACAGAAAATAATTGTTACTGATAGATCATACATTTGTACATACATACATACATATGTAAAATTTCCTCATATGGGTGTACAACCACAATGAAACTGTATGAACTCAATGGTACAAAGTCAGTTGTACATATGTACAAAGATTCTTCTCATACAGTGAAATTTCACAACCCTGTGCTAACCAACCTGTAATGCAATTTAAATTTTAGTATTAAGATAATCAAAATAAAAGATAGATTTACTTCAAGATTAACATCACTATTATTATTGTTCAACAAAAAGTTCATTAAAAGCTTGCCTCCTTTTCTAAACTAGTGCAGAGAATTTCCAAAAAATTTTCTAATGAAGAATTTAGTAAATTTGTTTCTTCTTTTTTATTTATAAAAAAAGCAGCAACCTTTTCACTCAGAGAACTTTCTATTATTTCTGCTATTAATTTCATTTTGTTTAATAATAGTGATGATGATCTAATGCAAGAGAAGTTGAAGTCTTAATTAGTAAGCTATAATGGCAAATTTAAGTTCAAGCATTTGAATTTATATAACTAGAGTGATGACGAGTGGTGATAACCACCACCATCCTTATGATAAACACTTACCTAGAAACTGCTTGTTGTATTTCTTCTGTATTTCTTTTATTTGTATTTCTTGATGACATTTTTAATAAATTTTTAATTTGAAAACAAATAACATGGTATTTTACTCCGGGTAAATCTTGAGCTCCCCCTCCAGCAATTAAGACTGAAGAATACTCTTGCAAATTGTGACCAAAGAAAATAAATGTGTACACATTAACAAGTATTTTAATTATTGTAAAATACAGATTGTATATTAAACTAGAGTGATGAGTGGTGTCAATAACCATCACCACCATTCTTACAATAAACAAAAAGAAATTATTTGATTGATCAACATAAACGCATACATTATTTATCAGTTGTGGGACATGTCACAAAATTTATTTCTACTGCAAAAACATAGTGAATTTTTCATAGTAAAATTTACTTTCAAACCCCAGTTTAGTGCCCTTGTTGTTTAGCAATCATCATCAAATTTGATATATAGTTTCTTTTTAGTATACATCTATTTTATGAAAATTTTTGAGGCAGGTTGTTAATAAAACTGTAGATAATCACTACCTTAAAGTTTTTTGTTTTGTTTCTGTGATCTCATGTGTAGAAAATTGTCATTTTTATTGATTGCAAACAAATAATTATTTTTTACAAGTAATTACAGAACCCAGTCACTTAGGTATGCTTTCTACTAGAATTTATATTAAGAATAGAATTTTGCCAGGGAAAGCTTATAAAGTAATGTAAAAATTATTCATTATTATATATATATAAATATATATATATATACACATACACACACATATATAGTTTCAACTTTAAATTTATTAATATACTATTATATTTTTTTTGATATATAATTTGCAAAATATTTATTTTTCTGCATAATATTTTATATAAGTTACATTATTTTATTATATATATGAATGGAAAAAATAAATACTATAAAACTAATATTAATTTACATTAGAGTCAAGACCACACAATACACTGTTGGGAATTTTTCTATGGGAACTATATTTTTTTACAGCATGTTCTGCAGCATTAAGAGTCAGCCCTTTTCTATATGCATCCATATATCTGAAAGACCTACGTGCATATCTTCTTATAGATGAAATTGGAACAGAGTCCAAGGCCAAAGGTACTGTTTTCAAGAGTCCATCCCAGGTGTAGTCACAATTTTCTCTTGTGTATCTCTTAGCTGCACCCCAATACATTTCAATGAAATTTAATTCACAATGGAACTTGGGGTAGAAAATCACCATATGTCCCTTTCCTTCAATTGTTTCTTGAATAATTCCCTTTTGTGACTTGAAATCTGGTTGTAACTCCAGAATCTTCAGTCCACAACAATCTGTTTTTGTATTCTGTTCCCTTAACTTTTTAGTTTTACAGTCAGAACATACTTTTTTTAATCCTTCCTTAAATAATCCTCTTTCTTGCAAAATTGTTTTCATTCCCTTCTGTTCTCCATTAGGGTAAGTCATCTGTTGAATTGCACCATTGAAAACAGTATCTCTCATCTTTGGTTGTTTTCCACCATCATTCCAATTTACATTGGATGCAACCAAAGCATCATCAGCAAAGGCAGCATGAGAAGTTGCATTGTCAAATGCAAATAGAGCAATGCAACCTGGATGAGTGGCTTCGAATATTGGTATTGCTTTATTAATTATTTGATTTTTTAATTTTTCTGTTGTCCACCACCCATCATGATTTGATCCTGATATAATACATTCACGGCTTTGTTTAGGTAAGTGGGGGAATTGATTTTGTTCTTCATCATTTAGATGTAAGGGACCTATTGTTTCACTCAAAAAATCACTAACATGATAAGCCCTCCCTCTCCCCTTCTTTTTTAAAGGTTGTTCACCTTCTGGAATCCAACCTTGACTATTACTTTCATTTGAATAGAAGGTAGATTCATCATGTGTTATTATATGTCTTATTTTAACTCCTTCTTCTAATACAGGGTCAATTCTTTTATCTAAATTATCTCCCTCAAACCTTGGAGCATAAGGTTCATATTCCACTTCCATAAAATTTAAAAATTCTTCTCTATATTTAACAACATCAGGTCTCTCATGGCCATCATGATAGAATCCTTTTTTATAAGCACTAAACATCCATCCTAATTTTTTGAGCCATCTTGCTGCAGTTTGTTCAGATATTTTTTTGTGTTCGTTTTCCACTCCAAAATTAGGCAATATTATATCATTGACATGTTTGCATAATTTTTTAGGTGTTATATCAAATTTATTGGACCTTAAGTGACTTCCAATCTGTGCAGCAACATCTTCATGATCCAAAAGGCTTTTTGTTTTTGGGTGTTTTCCTCTATTTGATTCAGGTAATATTTTATTTTGGACCCATTGTTTAGCCCAAGTTCTAATGCATCTTCCTTTATAAACTCTTGCCCACCCTAGAGATATTGCAACTATTTCACTTGCTTCAATCTGTTTTTTGCCATTATCCAAATGTCTAAAATACATTTCAATTGCCATTAATTTGGACTTTACATCATTGGTTAAATTAGGTCTTCCAAGAGCTTGCTCAACAGAACTTATTGCACTTTTCCAGTCATTATTCATAAGGTTAATATCATCTTCAAGATCAAGATCAAAATCATCATCAAGATCATAATTTAATGATTCAACACCACTTTGCTCTGAATCTTCAGGTTGATCTTCACTGGAAGTTTGAAGGTTAAAAAAATCAGTGATTTTCTTTGATCCTTCTGCTGCTTGTTTTAATTGACTAGCCTGCCTTCATAGTGTTCTTTTTGAATCTTTCATGTAAAAAGACCTGCTTTTTATTGAAATGGCATTTTCTTTGAAAGTTTGTTTTGCCTCTTCCCACCATCCACATACAAAATCAGCATTATCATCTCTGTCCATTCTCAAATCATCCCATGGTTCACTGTCATCAGAATTCCAATCAGATTCAGTTTGAATTTCGGGTTCAGATTCAATTTGAATTTCAGGTTCAGGTTCAGATTCAATTTGAATTTCATGTTCAGGTTCAGATTCAATTTGAATTTCAGGTTCAGATTCAGATTCAATTAAATCCATTTCAATATCATTTGTATTTAAATTGCTTTGTTCAGAACGATTTCTTCTAGCATCAGCTAATCTTCTAATTTGAAGTTGTCTTTTATTGTATCTGACCATTTTTAATGTGATTAAATTTGTTGATATATATATAGGAAAAATTTAATTGAGAAAAAGAATTAGATTTGTAATAATAGAGTTGGTAAAAAGAAAATTTGAATAAAGAAAATGTTTAGAGATATTTTATTATTGATTATTTTTTTAATAGTACAGCTGGTAAAAACGTCTTGCATTTTATATTCAAAATTTCTTTAAATTCCAATTCAGTAAATAAAGAAAAATATAAAATAAATGAGTTTTTCACCACTTTATCAATTATGACAAAGAATACTTGAACCTGAGAATTTTGTTAATTTTTTTGATATTTTTGGGTTTGAATTAATTAATTGATACATATTTCAGGAATAACTAACTATAAATAATACAATGAAAAAACAGTTTGTTTATTTAAAAATGAGTTTAGTAAATCCGATTTTATCATCTATTTTTGTCATGTTTAAAGAGAAAAGAGAAATAATAAAACCATTATTCAAATTGATAATAAATCACATATGATCATTTGTTCATTTGTAGAAATCAAATGTAAACCCGATTCTGTCATCTATTTTTATCATGTTCAAAGAGAAAAGAGAAACAATAAAACCATTATTCAAATTGATAATAAATCACATATGATTGTTTTTTTTAATTTTGAAAAATCTATTAATATTAAATACTTATATGGATGGCATTTTCATTTTTACATCAAATAAGCATCAAACCTGCCTATCATGCAACTATTGAATAATTGATAAAATATTAATCAAATGTATTTTACAAAACTTGTTTTCCAAGCTTGCCTAGTATCGGTTAATAAGTTTTAGAGAGATTCACAAAAAAACAGTTTTATAAACCAAGTACAGCTCAAATGATAAAATGTTCACAGCGCAAAATGCATCCATCGTTAAATACAAAATAAGAAGGCTAGAATTTATGGGTAAATATAAATAAATTATAAATTATACATTGAGTGTGATATTATTTAATATTAATGTTTATTAATAAATTAAAGCAAGTAAACATGTACAAATGATGATATCATCACTATCATTATTGAAATCACCACCTACTGCTCAAACATCTATTGCTGCTGCTGTTTCACCAACTAATACACAAGCACTTGCTCAAACTGTTTCACCAACTACTACACAATCATTTCAATCATACATTACACCACCTCCATAACATTGTAATAAAAAATATAGTTATGGAATCAGTTCTATGACAATAGTGATTAATTTTTTTTATATATATTTTTTTTTGGTGATGTAGATACAATGATTTAGATATAATTACAAAATTTTAATAATTTTTTTTTGCATATTGCGAGTGTGTAAATTCAATTACAGCTCGGGTTGTGTCCAATAAAATATATAAGATAAAATAAAATAAAATTCCAATATATAAATCTCCCTGTTATGGCACACAGCTCAGGGTTATCAATTCCGACCTCTGAT